CCAAACCCCCCCCCCCCCAGGAAGGGAAGGCCAAACTATTTCTAATTATTCTCTACTTTAAATACCCTGAAAAGGGTCACCATAAGTCAGAATTGACTTGACACCACATGACTATTATTACACTTCACCCTCTCTCTCCCTTCGATATGTTCTCTTCCTTAGTAGCCCTTTCTGTTTGGAATTGTTATCCTGCATTCATTTGGAGGTTGCTGTTGTTGTTTTTGGATGTCCTCATGAAATTACAGTATTATTAGCCTGTAGCTTCCCAGTGATTCCTGAATATTCCATACATACCCCAACTCACAGCCATATTTTTGTAATAAGATACTATTTGGGTACCTACCTGTCTCATGTGAACAGATAAAAGAACATGAAAACTTGGCAGGGCCCTTGTACCATGCAGTTCTCCTCTGCACATCCACAACTCTTTCTCTTCCCCATGGAAGCATTAATGACACAATTCTTTCAATTCTGTCCCCTTTGCCTCCTTAGTGATAGTTTCATTTACATTCTGTGATACTGGCATTGGAGAGAAGCACTTACCGTGGTTCGGCATATTGAACCCACAAGTATTGCATGGGCACTCTGCCCTGCCTCCTCCCATGGGCGCCCACTCAGAAGATGAGGCAGGGCAGGGAAGCCCGTGGCGCCGCTTCTGACAGAACGCAGAATCCAGAGTGCCCATGCAACACTTGTGGGCCTGATCTACTAAACAGAGCCAAACCATGGTAATTGCCCATCTCTAACTGGCACCTGGAGCGAGCTCCCATCGCTTGTCCCAGCTCCTGCCACCCTAGCACTTTGAAAGCATGCAAAAATGTGGCTAAATAGGTACCACCTCAGTGGGAAGGTGACAGTGTTCTGTGTCTAGTTGCGCTGGCCACGTGGCCATGGAAACTGTATATGGACAAACGCTGGCTGTACGGCTTGGAAACAGGAATAGCCCCAACCCCTAGAGTCAGATACAACTGGACAATTTGTCAAGGAGAACCTTTACTTAACTGGCACCTATGGTCAAATCACTCTCTGGGAGTCCTGCATATTGAGAGTGATTGACTGTGCCCTGAAAACAGGTGTGCTATCAATGCCATTAGTGCTTTCAAAAGCAACCAACGGGCAGATGCCAGCCCAAAGATAAGGTTTTGATGTGAACCTATAAGTGCTGTCCAAGTAAAAATGAAGGGACTGGTGGTGACAAGCCTGGATAATTGCATGAAAGTATGTTCCTGCTAGTTCTATTGGGAAGAGAAAATTACCAGGGTAAAGGTCCTGCAAAGTCTGGAGTAGGTTCATCCTGAATCAGCTGTACAAAATGTACCTGCAGACAGACTTAAGATTTAGGACCGGCTAAAATATTACTCATGCTTCCGGACCACAAGGAGGATGGATCACACCCCCATGAACCTCCCTGACTTGGAACTGGTTCCACCAGTCCAGTCTCAAGGAGAGGTCAGATTGTCAACAAAACAATGGCTTGTCTGTCTTTCTTTTTCAAGACTGGTGACAGAAAGAACTGTTCCTGGGAGTCTGTACGGACTCTATGAAAGAGCCCTCACTGACACTTCAAACACTCCTTAGTGGAATGACATCATTCCTTTGATTTAATTCCAGCAGATACCATAAGAAACTTGTTGGCTAGGATCCCTACATCCACCATATTCAATACAGCACCTCCAGTCCCAGGTGCCTCTAAGCCAGCAACTAACCAACCACTTCCCCTCCTTCCCCAATGAGGGCGATTATGTCCCTCTTTCCGTTTTCCCATCCATGCCATCCATGAATGTATGTACTTATAAATGGAAAGCAATGAGGGAAATATTGAAAGACATCAAAAGAAGAAACATTCAGTATCACATTACACAACATGTATTGAGAGTTAAATAGCAATCTGGGGATGGTCTTCACTATCACTTCCTGCCAGTATTCCTCCTCTTACCACTCCTTTTGATTTTCTGATGGTATGGGCTTTCTTCTAGAAGTAGAAGCATTCTTAATGCTGTCTAAATGAAGGCAAATATCAAAACAGTTTAAGTGAAAGAAAATGTCAACAAACCTGAACTACTTTTCAGCTTGTAACTACGATGCCCTTCCAAACTTATATGCTGGTTGATAGTAATAGAGGTGCCATACTGCTCTGGTTTAAACGCATCTTCCCCCCTGTTTCGGAGAGTTATTGTAACATCTGCAGAACTGAATCACAAAGAACAATTAACATACAAGTTGCATAAACACATAAGCAAATTCTATACTGTACCTGTATATTTTTATACCATAAGAGCAGATTTTTTCCAGAATGGAATTAAGCACTGCAGCATACATATTCAACTCTAAATACCATTTATTCCCAGTTAACTGAACACAGGACTGCAGTCTAACTCTATACTCCCTGAGAAACAAGTCAGAGTCTTTAACATGGAAATATTATCTACGTTCCCCTTCACAGATTGCTGCCTTGTCATGGCAAAGGGGCTTGAGCAATTCAGAGAAGCTATGGGCTATGCCGTGCAGGGACAACCAAGACAGACAGGTCAGAGTTGAGAGTTCTGACTAAACGCAATCCACCTGCAGCAGGAACTGACAAGCCACTCCAGTATCTTTGCCAAGAAAACTCCATGGACAGAAACAAAAGGCTAAAAGACATGACGCTGGAAGATGAGCCCCTCAGGTGGGAAGGCGTCTAACATGCTACTGAGGAAGAGTGGAGGACAAGTACATGTAGCTCCAGAGCTAATGAAGTGGTTGGGCCAAAGCCGAAAGGACACTCAGTTGCCAGCGTGCTTTTAAGCAAAAGGAAAGTCTGATGCTGCAAAGAAAAATACTGCATAGGAACTTGGAATGTAAGATCTATGAACCTTGGGAAGCTGGATGTGGTGAAACAGGAGATGGCAAGAATAAACATTGACATCCTGGGCGTCAGTAAACTAAAATGAACATGAATGGGCGAATTCAACTAAGACGATTACCATATCTACTATTGTGGGCAAGAATCCCGTAGAAGAAATGGAGTAGCCCTCATAGTCAACAAAAGAGTGGGAAAAGCTGTACTGGGATACAATCTCAAAAATTATAGAATGACTGCAATACGAATCCAAGGCAGATCTTTCAACATCCCAGTCATCCGGGTTTATGCACCAGCCACCAATGCTGAAGAGGTTGAAATTGACCAATTCTATGAAGACTTACAAAACCTTCTAGAACTGACACCAAAGAAAGATGCTCTTATAATAGGGGACTGGAATGCTAGAGTAGGGAGTCAAAAGCTAAAAGGAACAACAGGAAAGTTTGGCCTTGGAGTTCAGAACGAAGCAGGACAAAGGCTAATAGAGATTTGTCAAGAGAATAAGCTGGTCATCACAAACACTCTTTTCCAACAACACAAGAGGTGATTCTACACATGGACATCACCAGATGGGCAATACCGAAATCAGATTATGTTCTCGGCAGCTAAAGATGGAAAAGCTCTATACAGTCAGCAAAAACAAGACCTGGAGCCGATTGTGGCTCTGGTCATCAGCTTCTTGTAGCAAAACTCAAGCTTAAACTGAAGAAAGTAGGAAAAACCACTAGGCTAGTCAGGTATAATCTAAACCAAATCCCTTATGAATATACAGTGGAAGTGAAGAACAGATTTAAGGAACTCAATTTGGTGGACAGAGTGCCTGACGAACTATGGATGGAGGCTCATAACACTGTACAAGAGGCAGCAACAAAAACTATCCCAAAGAAAAGGAAATGCAAGACAGCAAAGTGACTGTCCAACGAGGCCTTACAAATAGCAGAGAAGAGAAGGGAAACAAAATGTAAGGGAGATAGGGAAAGTTTTAGACAACTGAATACAAAGTTCCAAAGAATAGCAAGGAGACAAGAGGGCCTTCTTAAATGAACAGTGCAAAGAAACAGAGAAAAATAATAGAAAGGGAAAAACCAGAGATCTGTTCAAGAAAATTGACGATGCTAAAGGAACATTTCGTGCAAAGATGAACATGATAACGGACAAATATGGTAGGGACTTAACAGAAGCAGAACACATCAAGAGGAGGTGGCAAGAATACACAGAGGAATTATATCATAAAGATCTGGATGTCCCCGACAACCTAGAGAGTGTGGTTGCTGACCTTGAGCCAGACATCCTGGAGAGTAAAGAAAAGTGGGCCTTAGAAAGCATGGCTAACAACAAGGCCAATGGAGCTGATGGTATTCCAGTGGAACTATTTAAAATCTTAAACGATGACGCTGTTAAGGTGCTACACTCAATATGTCAGCAAGTTTGGAAACCTCAGCAGTGGCCAGAGGATTGGAAAAGATCAGTCTACATACCAATCCCAAAGAAGGGCAGTGCCAAAGAATGCTCTAACTACCGTACAATTTCACTCATTTCACACACTAGCAAGGTTATGCTCACAATCCTACAAGGCAGGCTTCAACAGTATGTGGACCGAGAACTCCCAGAAGTACAAGCGGGATTCCAAAGGGGCAGAGGAACTAGAGACCAAATTGCTAACATGCACTGGATTATGGAGAAAGCCAGAGAGTTCCAGAAAAACAACTAATTCTGCTTCATTGGCTACACAAAAGCCTTTGACTGTGTGGTCCACACCAAAACATGGCAAGTCCTTAAAGAAATGGGAGTGCCTGATCACCTTATCTGTCTACTGAGAAATCTATACGTGGGACAGAAAGCAACAGTTAGAACTCGATATGGAACAACTGATTGGTTCAAAATTGGGAAAGGAGTATGACAAGGTTGTATATTGTCCCCCGGCTTATTTAACTTATATGCAGAATACATCACGCGGAAAGCAGGACTGGATGAATCCCAAACCGGAATTAAGATTGCTGGAAGAAATATCAACAGCCTCAGATATGCAGATGATACCACTCTGACGGCAGAAAGTGAGGAGGAATTAAAGAACCTCTTAATGAGGGTGAAAGAGGAGAGCGAGAAAAATGATCTGAAGCTCAACATCAAAAACCCAAAGATCATGGCCACTGATTCCATCGCCTCCTGGCAAACAGAAGGGGGAGATATGGAGGTAGTGACAGGTTTTACTTTCCTGGGCTCCATGATCACTGCAGATGATGACAGCAGCCACGAAATTAAAAGTCACCTGCTTCTTGGGAGGAAAACGATGACAAACCTAGACAACATCTTAAAAAGCAGAGACATCACCTTGCCGACAAAGGTCCGCATAGTTAAATCTCTATGAAGGAGGACCCCGTAGAAGGAAGTAGTTGTGTGGACGGGATATTAATTGAAATAGACCAAGCGGAAGGAGTAACAAGAAACCTACTGAAGTGTGTCTAGCTGACGAGGGAGGGGCGGAGCTAGACCTCATTTTATGGGAGGATATAAAAGAGAGTGAGAGCGCACGCATTTTTAGATTATTGACAGACAGAGTTGGGAAGGTTCGTGGATAGAGGGGTCCAAACAGAGCCCATGCTCTATTCCGGAGAAGCACCTGATATTGTTAAAGATTTCCCTAATCTACAACTGGGAGGGGGATTGTTACCGGACCCGTTATTACCTGGAGGAAAGGGGCGAGCGTACGATCCCCTAGAATGGACGGTAGTGGTGTACCCCAGGAATCACCCTGGTGGTCGGAGAGTGATCTGCCCTGGACCTTCCTTTCAACAGAAGCCCCCAGAGGACGATTGGGCCAGGCACCCGTGCTGCGGGATAGTATGCATGGTACGGAGTGCCCCCCTACGACCCTTGACGGATCGGGAACGCTTTGGGCCGGCTCCCTTTTAGGAGAGTTAGGGAGACCTCCAGTTGTGAGACCAAAAAAATACAAGTTGTTGACGGATGACTGTTTATTGGATCCTTTTGATACAGTTGAATTAAGTTCTGTTACAAATAAAAATGTTGATGTAGAAGTTCCAGATCAGCCTCCACGTCTTTTTCCCGCCTTTACCACCAGTGCACCCCCGGCCAAGGAAGGACCTTGTCACAGTGGCGCCCAACGTGGGGCCGGGGGGACGCCAGAGGCGGAAAAGGAAGAATTGCTTAAGTTACGAGAGGCCATGGAGAGACAAGCTAAACTTATTGAAAACCTTACGGAGCAGCAAACCCTGATTGCAAGACAAATGCGTACGCAAGGGAGTGAGGAAGAAAAGAACCCGAAAGGCGCGGTGAGTGTGAGGGAAAGCCTAGTGGCCGGACCGGCTCCCATCCGTATGCAAAAGATGTTCAACACGGACGACCCGGAGGCATACTTGCACACGTTTGAGAGGGTGGCACTTGCGGCGGGATGGCCAAAGGAACAGTGGACTCTTATCCTCATTCCTTGCCTCATGGGACTGCTACAAGAAACAGTGGATATGCTTAGTGTACAAGAGGCAGCGCTGTATGAGATCGTGAAGAATGCCATACTTCATACATTAAACCTAACAGAAGAGACGTATCGGAAGAGGTTGAGGGAGCTCAAGTGGAAACCGGAAGCCCACCCGCGCACCGTAGCGCAGAGGATGAGAGCTAACGCCGTGAGCTGGTTAAAACCTATGGAGAATAGTGGGGATCAAATAGTCGATGCCGTAGTTTTGGAACAATTGGTTCAGTCATTAGGAACAGGCGCGAAAAGCTGGGTTCAGAGGAATAATCCTAAAACGCTGGAGAAAGCCATCACCCTATTGGAGGATTACAGCAACCCGGAAGAGGTTGTTAAGGAGGGTAATGCCCCTTGGGCGGAGAGAGGAAAGCCACGAGGTGGAGAGGCTTCGCTTTCGACTTTGAATTCAATTGCGAAGCAGAACGCAGAGATGAGTGGACCTCTCAAGCCACGCGGAAAAATGTTTGAGCCGTTTGAACCTAGGCCTATTCGACCAACTACGGTAGATCAGCGGATCTATTCTCCGGGGACGGGATGGCGCGAGGGCAATGACGGGCGTCCCATCTATATTCCCAGTGCGGTATGGCGTGAGGGCAAGAAAGGGCGACCCATTTGCTTTAACTGTGGAATTTCGGCCACGTGAGAAAAAATTGCCCCGGGACAGACTGTTCGTGGGTGGGGCAACTGGAACAACCCCACACGCCAAAAACGTCAGCATCGGAACGGTGGGAGGTTGAGGCTTGGGTGAATGGGGAAAAGAAAAAAGCCCTTATAGACACAGGATGCAGGAAGACTCTTGTGCGAGACTTGTGTGGGGATAAAAAGGATGAAGGGCTGGTAGTCCGATGCATCCATGGGGACCTTAAGAACTACCAAACTATTTGGGCAAATGTTAAGGTGGGGAAGGAAGAGAGGAGGATGAACACTGGTGTTGTTCCAGGACTCTCGCAAGAGATGCTACTTGGAAGGGACTGGGTTGGTTCGCGCGCGGTAGGGGCGATCAAGGAGGGGCTACAAGGGGAGTGCCCTAAGGTTGAAGATCAGTCCGATTTTTTTACAGAGAACAACGCGGGAGCAAGTACGAGCTATGCAACAAGATGATGTTTCGTTGCAAGAACCTCTGCTTGCAGCTCAACCATCGGGAACTATAGTAAGGGGACAACGAGGATGGGAACTGGATCGGGGTTTATTGTATTGGGTGGATGACTGTGGGGATAGGAAACTTGTGGTACCTCAAAAATGGAGGATGAAAGTAATGGAATTGGAACACGATATCCCCTTAGCAGGACACTTAGCGGAAGAGAAGATGAAGGCCAGAATTAGGCAAAGGTTATAGTGGCCAGAGATGGAGAAAGAAGTCAAAGAATTTTGTGCTACTTTCCCACAATGTCAGAAAACTCAAAGGAAACCTAGGTTGGGGGCAGAGTTGATACCTTTGCCTCTAATGGACTATCCATTTCAGAGAATTGGCTTGGATATTGTGGGCCCCTTAATTAGATCTGAGAGTGGGCATACTCATATATTAGCGATAGTAGATTATGCCACTCGATATCCAGAGGCCATACCCCTCCGGTCCACCACGGCTAAGGCACTAGCGCGAGAATTAATGCAGGTGTTCTCTCATTTAGTATTTCCCAAAGAAATCCTTACGGATCAGGGGATGAATTTTATGAGCCAGACGCTCAGAGTTATGGCGCCTCCTAGAGGTGAAACCTATCCATACAGCCGTTTACCACCCCCAAACCAACGGATTGGTGGAGTGCTTTAATAAAACTCTGAAGGGGATGTTGCGGAAGCTAGTCATGGAAAGACCAAAAAGATGGCATTTGCTAGTAGCCCCACTTATGTTCGCCATTCAGGAAGTACCACAAGCCTCCACAGGTTTCTCGCCATTTGAATTAATGTATGGATGGAATCCTCGGGGTATTTTGGACCTGGTAAAGGAAAAGTGGGAGGAGGGACCTGATGAAGCCCAATTAACAGTGCAACATGTTATTGAAATGCGAGACCATCTAAGGACTGTTTTGAATATAGCAAAAAAATAACTTAATGAATTTTCAAGCTGGGCAAAAAAGGAGATATGACAGGAATGTGAAGATAAGAGAATTTGTTCCTGGACAAAGGGTGTTACTACTGATGCATTCTGATCAAGCTAAATTGTTTGCCACTTGGCAAGGGCCTTATGAAGTCATTAAGAGAGTAGGGCCAGTTGACTATGAAATTCTTATGCATCACAAAACAAAGAAAAGAGGAATTTTCCACGTGAATCTGTTAAAGGAATGGAGGGAGAGGGAAGCTTTATGGGGAGAAGTAGATGAAAATGAGTTTGAACCTGAAGTAGAAACATGCTTGCGGACAGACCTGCATCTCACTATAGATGAGACTTTCTTCTCTGAAAATGTAACATTCCTTCCTCTGCAATGTTGCAATAACAACACAACCAACCTCTACAGAATAAGGAAAAGAAAAGCATAGATGCCATCATACCACTTTTCACCTTGTCACCACCTAGAACTGATCCCTTGCTTTGACAATACTTAGCTTCAAGCTTCTCAGATCCATTGGGGGCTGCTGCAGAGACTGGCCAACAGGTTGGAAGAATTCCTTTGGCCAGGATCACAAATTCTTTTGGTCCAGCACAAAGCCTTGAAAAGCACTGAATCTGAAGCCCTACCCCATCCCCAGCATCATTCTCCAGTGGAGGAGTTTCACTTACCTCTGACCATTTTTCACAAACACTTTCAAAGATGTCCCTCGGTTCGTTACTATAGCTTTTCCTCCAAGGCCAACGATAAGGGCAGTTAAAACAGCACTCTTTCCACCTAAAAGCAGCAACATACAAAACCTTGATGTCCTGCAAGGTATTCTAAAATGAGTTTCATGACTAATAAAAGGTAGCTCAAGCTTCTTCCACCAAACTTTTTGTGGTCTCTGGTTTTGGGAGTTTGCCTCCAAAGAAATGACAGAACTTTGCAGTCACCTCTTAATATGAAGAAAGCCTCAAGTATAGCTCAAGCAAAACATTTTTTCAATAGAATGCAAAGTTAGTGGTAGTCTCTAGTTTCTATAGATGGAAAATACCCCATGGGATTTTGGTGCACTGTTTGAAAGCTCCCCCATCAACCACATTTCATGGCAAAAGTGTCCCACCAGAAACTGGTAATAGCCAAAAGGACAGAAGAGAGAAAAACAAATTTTGCCCTATAATTGTTATTCTTGCTTTGTTTACATAGGTAAAACATATAAATAGACTTTAAATTTTCAGAATGTGGCAGGATCCAGAGATAGAAATATGGCATCAGTGAATGATGGTCCTAACACAGTGGCTCCCAACCTTGGATAACCCAGGTGTTCATGGACTGCAGGTCCCAGAAACCCCAGCCAGCACAGGAACACTTGGATTAGCCAAGGTTGGGAACCACTTCCCAAACAGAATAATTGCTGAAAATAACAAGCACAGCACCCACATCTTTTCTTTCTGGATGGTAACCTAGAAGCCTGTCATCAACCATAACCATACAAAGGCTACAGCCACCGTATAAACGAAATTCTGTAAAAGTACAGAAACTCCTGTGTGTGGTGCACTGATGCTACAATGAAAAACAAATTGTTGCTAGCCCAGTAAGACTTAACTCTTCAGTTAGACTTTCCACACCCTATCTGAACAATTAGGACTTTACAGAAGGTTCTGCTCTAGCAGCTGAAGCTTTTTTACAGCAGCTCTAGCAAGAAATTAAGAGAGCGAGTGACTGAAAGCTTCACATTGCCATAACGTGCACCACGTTAGGATGATTATGTCACCACCACCAGCAATTTGTCAAAAATTAAATATTTCCAACTTTTGTTTTGAAATGCCTGAGGCTCCCCTATAATCCTTTTCATACCTGGGATCACCTGAGGGCTACAGTATAGAAAGGGGAAATCTTTAACTACCAAAAACAGCGGGTGCCAACATTCCCTTAATGTTCAACCCCACTGGGGGGGGGGCTCTGTCTCTCATGCGCATGAGTTCCTCCAGGCGCGCATGGAGTTCCATTGCTACCAGAACCAAAGGGGCAGAAAACAATCACTGTTGGTGCACAGAAGAGGAGAAGGCTGCGCAGAAGAGGGCAGAGTTGTGCAGGGGCGCACATCTTAGAGAGAACCTTAGCTGCTGTCAAGATGACCTTATCTTTCTTCTCTTACGAACTTTACAACACCAGCAGAAGCTTCTCACAGTGTGTGATGGTTGGGAATAACTAACTGTGCTCATTAATTAATACTCTGTATTTTAGCTGGTTCATGTTTTTACTATTCATTCACGCAAATTTGATCATTTTCTTGTGTTGTGACACTAACTTATTTATTTATTTAAATTATTTATATGCCACCTTTCTCTCTCCATAGGGGACCCAAGGCGCCTCACAACAGATAGAACAGATTTTTTAAAAAAACATGAGATATACATCGTATTTAAAAAACAAGGATATATTAAAATTAAAAACAATTCAAAAATACTTAAAAACCTGCAAGTTAAAACCCAGCATTGCCAAGATAACCTACTGCTTAAAAGACTGCCTGAAGAGAAAGGTCTTTGCCTGGTGACAGAAGGACAAGAGGAAGGGGGCCAACCTGGCTTCTCAGGGCAGCGCATTCCAAAGGGAGCAGCCATTGAGAAGGTCCTTTTGTGTCCTTGGGAAGGTGGTGGAACACAGAGAGAGGCCTCTCCAGAAAATCTTAAATGCTGAGAGGGCTCATGTTGGGCGATACATCCTTCAAATAGTCTGGCCCCAAGCCAAATAGGGGCATTGTGCACTTCTGACATTTTATCTCATAAGAGGAATAAAAGCTGTATTAATTAAGGAATAAACAAGGCAACGTGCTTGGGGATGGATGACAAAATGATCCTACAATTTTGGATACAATTAATGAGTGAAAACTTACTTCCATTGTTTCCAACTATAAAATTGACATTGGATCCAAACTCAAAGGGTCCCAGCATTGAATGGCACATGAAATTCTTCAGTTTGATACTTTCAATTATTCCAACTTCTCCGGATGCCTATAGACACAACAGCCAATTACAAAGACCTTTTAACAATGGAATATCTAATAATCAGTATAAAACTTTTTTTAAATTACAGATTCCGATAGCGACTGCAGTAGATGACTCTACACTGAGAATAAATCTGGAAAATGGCTGCATAACTCTTTACTAACAGATCTTCTACCTTTTATCTGCCACTTATCTAAAAGGCTTTTAATAATGGATTCCAGTTTACATTGAGTGCTTGAAAAAAAATTACAAAACAGACAGCTTGACCTTTTCCAGGTGTAACTAACAGAATACAATACAAGATTAATTTGCCTAGAAAAATTCATACTACCTATGTTCAGAGATAAGGAATGTGGGAGAGAAGAAATTACACTTTTCCCCACTACAACCCCCAAACCCCAGCCGTATTAAACCCCGAGTGAGGGGAAGCCAGTAAGAGAATTGTCCCTCATCGCTAACAGTCAATAAAACAGGAAACATCCTGCACTATATCGGAGTTACATGGCACTCCAGGAAGTGTTCGGACTGCTATCCACAGCACCCTTTCTAGGGATTCATAATTCTTTTTCTTCTTAACTCCAAATACTAGAATTCTCCAAAAAAATTTGGAGCTGACAGACCCACACCTAAATTGTGCTCACCTGGAGAAAGGCTGGCCTGGAAGGCTTCATGGCCTAGGACAAACTGAACACAGCCAGAAGTCCTCAGGAAGCCCTGGAACAACTTCCGTTTTAAACAAGCACTTAGGCTATAGCTCTGCCTATCCTAGGTCACGAAGCCTTCAAGCCCAGACTTACTTCAGGTGAGCAGAGCTTGGGTGAAAGTCTGGCAAGCAGAATTCTCAAAATGCAGAATTATGGGATCAAGAGTCAGGGGGAAAGGGGCATATCTGCCTAGTCCTATCTTACAAAGAAAAGGTGACTCCCCTTCCCAAATACACATATTTGCATAAAAGGGTGGAAAAACTAACAGTAGACCAATCGGCAGAGAAGAACTTGCAATACAATAAAGTGCCTAAGAGTTAACATAGCACTGCCAGCCTTACAGAATGGAAGGCATGGATCTAAATGATTTAATTTTATCTGTCTTGTAGCAGTTCAAGTTTAAAGACACAGCCCAAAAGCTCTCCATTGTAGGGAAAACTCTGTCACTATTTCAGATGCTTTAAATTAGCAGTAAGCAGTAAAGGTGTTCTCTCATCTCAAAGTCTTGGAAAAGTTGTAGAGAGGGAAACTGAACTGTTCAGGAAGCCACCATAGGGGAAGGATTACCACATATTCTAGCAAATTCAAAGCCATCCTTCCATGAACATAATCCCATCCTTGCATTGATACCTCTCAGTTCTGCTCATCTGTCTAGTCTTATATCTAGAGGAGCAGCATTTGAGGGGAAACTGTCATGGAATATCAGAACTGTAGAACTACAATTCTTTCAACATTGGTGCTAATATGCATACCATGACCACCGACATCTGTACAACACTATCAACTAGCCTTTACATAGTATCACGCCTATTACCTCTCCACGTCTAAGGCAAACCCCCCTGCAATCTACGCACATACCACAACCCATCTGTGTTTTTAACTACTGGAAGACACCCTTCAAAGAGCACCCATATTCTTGGCATGAGATGGCATCAGTTAGTTTTACAAGGATTCCCCTAAAAGGAATTATTTCCTCCTTTCTCAGAATAAGGATTTTCCTCCCAAAGAGCTTTGTTCTTCAATAGAAGAATAGTCACCTTGGAAATAGTTCTGAAGCTATGGAACAAATACTGATTAGCTCAGCTTCTCCCAGTCAGTACTCTTAGAACCCATTGCATGGAGTGCACACCCGCAACTTCAGCTGAGCATGAGAGAGATACGGCACTACATTGGACAGTTCCCACGGCCTCACCAGCTTCCTATGTTTGTACTAGTTTTTAAACTGGGTTTATTAATTTCAAAAGCTAAGATCTGTAAGGCAAAAATGGAGAAAGGTTGACTGCCCTGGCTTTTTCACCTGCTTCCAGGGTAGAAGTTGAATGCCCTTGTGTATGTTCTATTTTATCGTGATGTAAACTGCCCAGAATAGTGCATTTTAATGATGGGATGGCATACTAATTAATTTAAATATTCTATAGGATTAATCTTCTAATATTTCATTCCTGCAACTTAATGCCCTTGATTGTGTTTGTTTTAGCTTCAGTTAATAACCAATACACTCAATAAATGTGTCGGTTTTACCCTGCAATTAGAGAGGAACTCAGCTCATGAGTCTTAATAATGGTTGCACTTGACACTTTGCCAGTTGAGCTTCTCAGCTACTAATGCTTCTTTTTCCTTTTAATAGAAATTTTAAAGCAGTATTAAAGCTTACCAACTGAGAGTTAGTACTGCTGTCATTGTGCAGGTGTGACCATTCATCTTCATCAGGATCATCATCAGAATCATCTCTGATTTCCTGCCTACGTCTTTTGTTAGATACTGGTGTTGAAAAGCTTCCCTCTTTTCTTTTTGCCATGAGTACTAGAATAAAATAATTAAAAAAAGAAAAATTGTTTGATACAGAACACAACCAAAAACAACTTTTTAAGTCCCAATCTTTTCAATGTGATAATATAACTAATACTGTAAATATATAATAAAGGGTTTACTCAGAAGCAAGGTTCACTGATTTCTTTCCTACATTCAAGCAACAATTCTATACCCATTTACCTGAGAATAAATACCGTGAATGAAATAAGGCTTTTGACAAGGCATATTTATTTATTTATTTAATTTATATGCCGCCCACACTACCCAAAGGTCTCTGGGCGGCTTACAGCATTTAGAATACAATAAAGATATGTACAATTAAAATACAATTAATATATATATAAAATTGCCATCAGACCCACAGCTAATATTATTTCAGTTAAAAGCCTTCTGGAACATTTTGTGATCAAAGTTTGAGTTGCAACCCAAGGACGTTTTAGCTGTTGTAAAGTATAAGAGGGCTGATTTACTACTGGTCCTTAAACCCTGCTAAATAGTTAGCAGGGACAAAGTATCTGCATCATTGAGAAAAATATTTGTCACACCACATGAAAATTGAATACTGTATTGGAATGCTTTTACCTGTTTTAAACAAATGGACTCAATGATAAAACTGGGGAGATTCCATGGCATACCACTGCAAGATAAGACTGTGCATCTGTGGGTCACTCACTATGGAAAAAATGAACCCACCATATTCTCCACTGTGGGTAATTTACTTTGCTCTCTTGCTAAAGAGAAAGAAGGAAGCACTGAGAAGCAAAAGAAAAATCAGGGCTTCCTGCTTCAAGGAATAAACGAATATGCAACAAATGATGTTCCTTTATCTGTAACTGCCAGACACAGGACGAAATTTGTGGGCTATCTTTATAAATTATCACGGAAATTTGAAAACATAACCAAATGTCTGTAATTTGACAAAACCCATTAATGCCACCTCCTAATGGTTGTATTTGCATTTTCATAACACTGATTTGTTTCACAAGTAAAGTCTTATCCTTTTTGAACACTTTTTAAAGGTACTCAAAGTATACGCATATTTAACAGATACTAATTGTTTTGTATTGATTTTAACCACTGCATTTCCATTCTTATACTAGATTGATTGATGTTAATTGTTTTGTTTAGCCATGGTATACGGATTGGTACAATAAAATAAATAAACGAAATACAAAATGCAGCTGATGATACAAATGTTAACAATTCTTGAAGGCTACAATCTGACACACCTATACTTATAGAAAAGTTCAGTTGCTTCAGACAAAATTTACAGATTCAAAAAACACTTTACAGAAGATGCAAATATGTCTAAATACCCAAGCACAAACAGGCACCTTATTAACTTTTCCCACAATAACTGAGCATTAAATAATCTTTATTGCAACTGTTCAATAACAAAGAATAACGTCACTCTTTCTGCTGCATAACTGGAATCATTCTTAATTTTTGGAGTGAGCAGATGAGCAGCATCATTCCTGACATGAGTTTCCTTGCATCACAGATGTGAGCTGCCTGTCACATGATGATTTTTTTAAAAAAAAACTGAAAATAATTATTTTGGTTACTTTTGATTAACAATTAAGGGAAAAAAACAATTGAAAAATAAAATTTAAAAATCTTAACGAAGGCAATCATCTTGTGGTACCTTTAAAAAAATCAGACTGCTCTATTTTAAGTCGAGCTTTCGTGGACAAAGTCCACTTCCTCAGGCAGAAGACAAGCAGCTTTTCAAAAAATTGTTTTAGAAATTTCTGGTTTTCTTTTGGAAGAGTTGCAATAACTTCGAAAAGGAATAATAACCCCCCCACCTCGAAAACGAAACCCCAAGGCTGGGGGACCCCCTCCCTCGAGCTGCCCGGGGAAAAAGACCCGCCGAGAGAGGAGCTTTTCTGGCCTCCGTACCTAAAGACAGACCGACCCCTTTCAACCTCAGGCGGGCAGCGCCATCCCCTCGTCCTCAGGCGGCGCGAGAGGAGCCCGGCGGCCCGCCAAGGAAGACGCTCCCGCGCAATAACGGGCGCCGCTCTTCCGCCCTTGCCCGGCAAGGGTTAACTTTCCACGGCGCGCCAAGACGCATGCGCGGCTCTCCCTCGGCCGCCTCTGTTCGTTCGACGTTCCCCTTCCTGCGACGATTGCGGAGAGATTGGGGGCAGGTGGGAGGGGGAAAGTCCCCGCCCCTTCTGTGAAAGAGTTCCGTAAACCTTCACCTCCGGTTCCGCGAAGAGCGCCGCCATTTGAGGGGCGGACTGCCCACTGCAAAGAGACAAGGGCCCTCCCAATATTTAGGAGCGACCGTTCCCGTGATGTCTTGAGGGGCCAAACTCCAACCCCAAAGCTTTCCTTCCTCTCCTGGTTTTATTTTTTTTTGGTGGGGGGAGGGACGGGGGTGGCGGGGAACCCGAAGTGTATAGTCCTAACAAAAAACATCGTCCTCTTAGGTCTCCGGCTCTATTGGCGAACGTCACGCGCGGCTCGGCGGGCGCGGAATTACGAATGTCGCGCGCCCGAACTGGAAGCTGAAGTGCGTGGCGGGCTACCGTAAGGGTGGTGCGTGCCAGCGTTGGCAGTTCGCCCGTGACGTCCGGCTCTCTTGCGCTTTCTAAAGGAAAACCGGCTCCTGCGAGAGGTTTGCCGGGTTTGTTTCTAGGGGTTGTTGCAAGAATGAAAGAAGGGCCTTTCTCCCTTTGCATATTGATCGGCATATCGTTGCGGGAGAAAGCCCATTGTATCTGATGCAGGAAGTATCGGAGTGGGTGGATTGCAATCACGATGTAAATCACAGTTTTCATTATTATTATTATCATTATTATTATCATCAAATTCCTTCATTACGATCAACAGATCCAGCAAAAATCAGCAACAGAACTATGCAAGAATGGCAATTATTAAATACAAATTAAATGTACCTTGCCTAGGATTAAATCTTAAAAATAGAAATTTCATTGTACAAAATGGGATGTGTTTGTTTTTTTACAGTTTAAATCAAAGCCGCCTAGAGTGGTCACATTTGACCAGATAGGTGGGGTATAAATGAAATAAATAAATAAAATATTGTGTTTTTTTTTTAAAAAAAAAAGTTAAATCGTGATTTCAGTCCATTTGATTTTAAGAAGTCATTGATGTTTATCCATTCTGGGAGTTTCATTGTCAGCATGTACCATATGCCAGATGGGAGGAGGTCCCAAAAGACGGAGGTTAAGGGGTGAGGAAATATGAAAAAATGGTCTTGATTTACAGGCTGATCCTAAACTTACTGTATAATGTTTTGGCCTTCTCTGAAGTTTCAGTCCTGAATTAATCAGAGTTGGGCTACATCTGGCCCTGTGGGTGCTCTTGGATTAACACGACTCCCATCACCTTTGTCAACACTGATGGATTAGGGAAATTGCAGTTGCACGACACGATTTGAGCAATAAGCGCACTTTGTTGTTGTTGTGATGATGTGATTTTGATTTATGGTGACCTTATGAATGAATGATGTCCTAAAGCAGTGGTTTGCAACCATGGGCAAACCAGGTGTTCTTCGACTACAGTTCCCAGAAGCCTTCACCGCCAGCTGTGATGGCGAAGGTTCCTGGGAGTTGCAGTCCAAGAATACCTAGGTCACCCAATGAAGATCACCATCCTAAAGGTCTTGTCCTCCACAGGCCTGTTCAGCTCCTGCACACTCCGAAATGTGCTAAATCCTTTATATATATTTTTTCATCTCCTTCATCTGAATCTAATCCAGCTTTTGGTATGATATATTCTGCGTGTAGTTTTAACAGATAGGGAAATCTGTTACACATTTGTCTAATACCTATAGGAAACAATTCTGTTTCGCCATACGGTACTACCTCAGTTTACGAAATTAATACGTTCTCTGGAACATTACATAATACGGAAATTTCAGAAACTGAAACGCAGATTGCCATAGCCCCGGTGGTGGCAGTACAAACATCCAGGCACGGGAAAACTTCCTTTGCAAAAAAAGGGAAAAACATAAACCAAGGCATTATTTTCAACAGATTTCTGTTCATAAACCGGGAATTACGTAAACCGAGGCATACGTAAAACGAGGTGTTACTGTATTCTGCCCTAACTGTAGCTTCTTGTCTGGCATATAGATTACACATCAGGACAATCATGTGTTGAGACACACCAATTTTTTTGGACCAATCCATAGAGTCTCATGAGCCACACGGTCAAAGACTTTGCTATACTCTACAAAGAATAGACTGATCTTCTTTTGAAACTCTTTGGTATGGTCCAGTGGCCAATGTATCTTTGCAATATGATCACTAGTGCCTCCTCTTTTTTTAGAATCCAGCTTGCATGTCAGGCATTACTTGTTCCATAGCTGATAAAAGCCTTTGTTGCAACACATTGAGCATCGCTTTTCTTGCATAGGAAATTAATTTTTTTGCCCATCCTTAATAATTTTAAAGGTTTCTTCTATCATCAGTCTAAGTGTTTCTTTTCTTTCAACTAGTGAAATAGTCTTTTTGCATTCTTCTTTGATAATATATTGGTTTTGATCCATGCTTCTTGTTTATGATCAACTGAGTTTAGAAATGCAAATGTATTATTTATGTGGATTTTAAATTAATCAGAAGTATAATTTAAATCATATTTAGGTGCTATGATTCTTTTAGTGTTCTTTTTCGGTTTTACTTTAATTTTTTATATTAACATTATATGTTCAGTACTGCAATCTGTTCCTAGTCTTGTTTCAGCAGAAAGAGTACAGTTTCTCTATCTACTACATCCAGTTGTGTAGTCTATTTCACATCTGTTTTGGCCATCTGGTAATGTCCATCTATATGGTCAACACCTGTTTCATTGTCTGAAGCATATGTTTGCAATAAGGAAATTGCTGGCTTCAAAGAATTGTATGAGTCATTCTCCTGCTTCATTTTTGATTCCTAGGCCAAATTCTCCAACAATATTTGGAGAATTGAACTGAGTCCTTTCAAGGAGAAAGGCGGAGTAAAAATATGTTAAATAAATAAATAAAAAGATTGGTTTGAATCATAATTTAAATTTTTTAATCAAAATTTTCATTTAAATAATCAAAAATCTGATTTTTTTGATTCTCCTTTGATGGGAGGCCACGAAGGAATACTAGAGCCTGTCAGGTAGAGCTAGGAAAACATCCTAGCTGAAACTTGGGGCAGCTGCTGCCAGTTAGAGTTGGGAGTCCTGGTTTAGATACTGGACGAGGCATCTTCCTATGTTCCTTTGGCCCTGTGGTACCTTAAAGTGGAACAAATGTCATTTGGCAAAGCTTTTGTGGAAAAGTGTTCCTTGAAGTGAACTTCTGAAGCTGCAAATACACACAGATACAGTATTTGGGAGTCAGTCCCGTTATGCTCAGTCCGACATATTTGAAGAGACATGCGTCGTGTCGAAATGTATGTACCTTTTCTCGGAACTAAGTCCCACTCAACCGAACTGGACTTCAAAGTCAACAAGCCTAGGATTTCAACCATGCTGTTCTATCCTAGGCGTATGTTCCAGTGCATTTTTTTAAGCAAATCAGTGTAGAATTACAGCCTATGGTTTGCTTTTCTTTCGTCCCAGAATGCATTACCGATAAGAAGAGGGGAAATGATGGATGAGGATGTAATCGAGGTGTATAAAATTAGGCGTGGTGTGGAGAGGATTAGTCAATTTTTTTCTCCCCGAGTATTAGAACCTAGAATGAACCAGTGAATCTCATTGTTTTGAGATTCAGGATATAGGCAGTTAAGTGCTTGTTCATACATTATTTTGTGGCAATGGCTTTAGGTGACTTTGAAACGTCATGAGACAAATCCAGGACTAAGACAGGTTGAAATGGAGCCACTGTATTGGCTCCTGTTGTACCTCTCAACATCACATACGGTGGTGCGCTTGGAAGCACCTGGCCATTCTCAATGGTGGGGGAGGCATATGGCCCTTTTGGGAGACCCTGGCACATCTGAAAGGGGGCCACAGGCTGGAAACAGATCATCACATATACTACCTTACAAGGTTTGTCATGCGACTTATACAATCCTGGTACAGCTCCTGTTTCTTTCATATTGTGTTTATCGCTCTAGCTGAAAATACAGAATATACTGAGATGGGGAGCTTTTGTTCCTTCCTGTTTCTAGACTACCCCAGCCACAATTTTTGAAGTTGTGATTGGGAAAAAAAAGATATGAACTTCTACTTGTGGAAACCATTAGAAAATCTCAAATGCTGGTGTGTGTTTTGACCCTTTACAGCCCTTTGTCAGCTTCCAGAAATGCAAGCTAAATAGGTTGTCAAGCTTTAAGCATAAAATAAATAAATAAGACGTGTGGTCTCCAAATAAAACAATACAAACGCAGAAGCAGGCGATACCTTTATTAGGCCACTAGAAAAATCCAAGTCGTTTGTGAGCTTTCTACGGTAACATATTCCATCTTCCTCAGGCAGTTTTCAAATGTTTCTTGTCATGATTGTTGTGGCACATGGCAAATAAGCATTTAACCTGTACAGTATTCATTTTGGAAGGAAGAAGGAAGCCCACTTTTGGAAAACGAACATTAGAAAGGAGGTGGTGTTTTCCCTCTTTGGTCATTCAGGAGCAAGTGGGATTATGCTATTTGGAGCATAGGAAATACTGGGTTGTGAATTTCACTGGGAAGAGAAAATGCCGAAGTTGAGGAGTTTGTCACCTAGAAAACAACTACAGTGTCATTCCAGTTTACTCTGTGTTGTTGCCTTTGATAGTTCTATTAACGCCAGAGATAAAAGAAACTTTTCACTCACCTGGAAGTGCTATATTTCCTAGCATTTGTGTTTGAGATCAGGTAATCATGTTTCAAATGCAAACTGAGCTCCCTAATTTCTGGAAAGGAATCATCCCCTTTAGCAAGCCAAGCTTTGAGAACTATGAGAAAAGCCAGTCACCTATAAACCCAGCTGTTGCTATAACAGCTTCTTTCATGCTGTTAGCATCATTAATGGATCTCTTTAACAAGCAGACATTGAGGTTTTCCTAGGAAAAGCTTGAAGGATTGGGACCTCCTCTTTTTACCTCACTCCTCTGCTCTTTTAGTCATTTTAGTAAAAAACAAACAGACATACACACCCCTTGAGCTTCAGGTAAAATTATTCAAGATGAACTTGCTACCTGTAAGAAAAGAATTCAGAGATATTTTTTTTCCTGTTGGTTCTTTTTCATCCTACCTTTCCCTCATGGAATACCTGGCGATATACATGGTTTCTTCATTCCCCAGTTGGGTCTCGTGTCAAGTCTGTGAGACGCAATACTGTAGTTAAAACAAAGTAACTGACACAAGATTATCAAAGGATTTGAATCTAGGTCTCTCCAGTCCAGTCTGTCATTCATTTTTTTTAAAACTAGAAGTGATTGCGGAAAGTCTGAATGCAGCAGAAGTCACGTGAAAGCCATCATTATAGTTTTAAGTTTCAGACGTGTGTGAGTGTTATGTGCCACTGAGTTGCTTCCAAGTCCAATTTATGGTGATCCTAATATGATTTTAGAGGTATGCAAGATCCAAGAGGTTTTAAATGGCTTGCTCCCCCCCAAGAGTGTCCATGGTCAAACAGGGATTAGAGCCCAGGTCGCCCGAGTCCTGGTTTCACACTCTCTCCATATCACTATACCGGATCTTGTCCTTAGGGAAGGTTGATTAATTTGTTGATGGCACATCCAAGGTCATGCACAGGGACCCAGTGCAGACTGCCTTCTACCAAATTGTTGCTCTTGTTCTGGAGGAGAAAAATGTTGCACCAACAACCCATTCCTGGGTGTGAT